ACTTCTTGAACAAAATGAACATGCCATTCTTTTGTTATGCTTTTCAGGTCCTTAACCTCACCCATAAAATCAGATCGTTGAGATTTAACATGAAGTTCGTTATTCTGATCAGTGTAGTCAACCTTCTCTAAAATAACAGACTCGGAATCTTTCACCATTCCGGAGACTATGCTGATTATCCGTGATTCCAACATCTTTAACATAGTATCAACTTCCAGACTTGATACTGATGAACCTCCCCCAAAATCAGCTTGAGATTGAATGATAGCATTCAACTTCGTATTCAAAATTTTGTACCGCTTCATGGTCATCAACATATGATCTGGAAAATTTTCTTTTTCTTCATCAAACTTTAGATCTTCAAAGGTTCCTCCAAAACCTTAATTATCAGTTTCATTCTCCAGCATCATTGTATCATCGATAGGTGAAGTAGGTTTGGGTGGATCGGTAGATTGTGAAGAAAAGATGGAAGTGAAAGGGGTATTGATTATGTTGTGGAATGTAGGTGAATCAGTTGTATAGGTTACTAGAGGTAAAGATACGATAATATCCGAAGTGACATTAGGATTACCTTGAGCATCAGTCTTCGCACCTTCTTCACCCATGTTAACATTTGTATCTATATTAGATACGCCTATAGTGATGTCAGAAGTTCGTGTCTCCTCGTTAGATGAATTGACATGCGAAACTTCAGGTGGAATAACACTTATGTCTTCAGGAATCGAACTATCTTTGACAAGATCAGCTTCTGGAGTTTCAGGAATTCTTTCTCCATCTTCTGTTGAAGTAGTGGCAATGATAAGTTTTCTGGATCTCTTCATCTTCTGTCAGAAGTTTGTGTCAACTATTTTGCCACATCTTCATCCCTTCATTTCTTTGATGATGGAGAAACAGGCGATGGAACTTCCCTGAATAATACACCTTGATGTGTATGCTGTGGTTTACGAACAACTTGAGGTGAAGATTTTCGAGACTCCATCTTAAATCTATGAAAAACCCCAATCTTTGAAGGTATTGTTTCTTTTTCTTGGGTTTCTTCAACAGTAGGTGAATTAACTGGTTCTGTAACAGCCATAGACACATCCGGTTGAACAATTTCTTTGACTATTACGGGTTTCTTCTTAGGTGACTTCTTGGGCTTCGTTTCCTTCACCGGTTTTTCAGAAGAACCAGCTTCATTTTTCTTCCCCTTTTTGATTTCTTCTTCTCCTTTTCCAATAGAACCCAATTTTCACTGTTGTATCTATTGTTTTGCAGATAAGCCAACAAAACTGAGTTCGTAGGATCAACTCTTTTTTAGCATTGCATCAGGAATACGAGCAACACTTGGGAACTCATCAGCATTATCAATCACCTCCTTTAGACTGCTATATACATGAAAAGTGGCTTTTTCTTCGTCATTGGCTACTAAAATACCCTCTTTGCTGTAGAAGTACTACAAGATCAAACTCCAGTATCTTGCACACGAAATACTATGAATAGCATCCGTGATGTCAACACTTTTCTTGAACTCCTTCCATAACTGCGAAGCATAATCCACTGGTAAATCATAGTATAGCCCTGCAACCATGGCGTATACCTCCATTCTTCCTTTGTCTAACCCCACAGTTCTTCTAGTTAAGCAACGTAAAAAGATTCCAAAAAGAAAATTCCAAATCGTAGGAAGACCTGACTTCTTGAAATCACTGATTTTGGATAGTGGTGGTTGATGTCCCATCTCGTTGAACATGTGGACGATTTGAGGATAAGTAAAATCCTCATACGGTGGAGAATTTGGAATATAAAGAATCTTACAAAAGAGTTTCCGTGTAAGTCTAACCTTCTTGTCATTGACTAGGTTAAACGTGACTGCATCAAAGGCTTTAGCGATTGAAGCTGTTGATCCCGCCTGAGATAACCACGAAATCGGTACAGAGAAAGAATTGAACATTGCCTTGGATAAAACAGAACTCTTCAAGGAAATCATGAGCATCTTAAATTCTTCAGGATACTTAGATACATAAGCTTCAACTTGATAGTTGGTACCCTGGATCTTCATAATCGGCATGGAAGTAATATCTTTTGTAGTTTGAGAAGGTTCAACATTGACATTAGAAGTAGTCTCCATTGTTAGGGTTTTGAAAACTTGAAAATTCAGAGAGAATTGTGAATTATCTTTGAATGCCTAAAGTGACAAAAGACCCTTGAGTTGGCTTTTATATGTAACCCTTCTATTTGAATTAAAAGCGGGATGTGCATTTAATGACTGCTGACGTGGCACCTTGAAAACCGATCACTACTCCGTAGAAATAGTCATGCGTCAAAAAATAACTGTCCGATCTCTGTAAAACCCGGACACGATATCATACGTCATTGAAATACAACCTGTTCTGTTTGCCCCAAGAGAATTGTAACCATCGGACACCTTTGGATGGAAGTTAGGCTCTTTCACTTTTGGGATGAAAAGCGAAGTCATATGCCAGATGTTTGAAATCATCATCCTGAGTTGGTGTTACTCAGAACCTCAAGGATTTCGTGAGTGCAGTGTTCGAAAGAAAGTTAGACAAGAAACAATGAAATAAAATTTTTAGGATTTTGTGATGTCAAAATTTTAAGTTGACACGAATGTAGTTAAACCGTGTGCAAAGGTTGCTTCGTTAATCATCAAGAGAGATCATCAACAACTTGTGTATGTTCCCGTGAATTACAATCGAAAACTTGTAGAGAAGTTTCGAAGGTCATCTTTTGTAAGGCTACATAGGTGGCTTAATAAATTCCGTTACATATCAGCCTTAACATAAGGTGAGGAATTGTAACAGAAATTACTTATTTGACCAGCATAGTCAGTGACAAGTGTGCTTTGAAAAATGTTTAAAGTAACTTTGGGGTTCGAAGTAAACTCACACGGAAATCATATTCATGAAAAAAAATTTGTGCTGGATCTTGTTGGGTAACAAACATCATGGGTTTCGATTGTTTGATCAAGATCACTCATATGAAATGAATATGATTTGGAGTTTTGAAAATAGGTACTGAAACAAAAGTTTCGTAAAATCTGGAACATAGTTCCCTGCCAATTCCTTAATTTGCAAGAAATTTGGGTTTCACTTTCATCACAGTCTCATGATGTCAGATCATTAACACAGATTGTTGATATGTCTAAGTCTCGATTGGTTTGATCAGAGACCTCTTAGACATATGTCTTCGTGTGTGATCGTGAAAGAAATTTTAGATGAAAAAGATTGGTGAGGACACGAAGTGTACCTCTGTTATATTTGGACAAAACAGTAAACTCTTTACTCATATGAGAAGAGTCAGGTAGCTCATGATACTAATGGGAATACAAGCCTGATTGGGAAGAAATCTTTGTATGAAAAGTTCACTAAGGCTTTCGTACACACACATTGAGTCATTGGATGCTTCGGACAAGATGCAACAACATGCTTCTAGGGACATCTTAACTAGTTCAAAGTAAGTAAAATGTAAAGAGTTGTAAGATTCATTTACCTGACCCTAGATCTGCAAGCATATGCCTCTTCGTATATTCAGAAAGATCTGCAACAAAGTACTTAAAAGAAAAAAATATAAAATCTTTTTGTTGTTTTGAATTTTCAAAAATAAAGTGAAAATCTTTTTGATGTTTTTGATTTTTCGAAAATGAAGAACAAAAGAAAATGAAAATATTTTTGATGTTTTTGAATTTTTCGAAAATGAAATTACTCAAATAAACGAAAGCACTTGTTGCAAACATACGACATTTTACCAATTCCCTGAAAAGTGACAATCATACGAATGCGAAGCGTTCGAAGAGTTAAGTATGAACGGTAACCTCTGAACACTGAACGATGACACGTTATCACTGATTCAGAGCCTATGAATCATTCTCGATCAACCACTATTCTCCTTTTTCGCATGGAATTGAATTTCCATCGATCATTTTAGTCCTTCCAGAATTCGTACCAAAGATTTTTCATCCAAAGCTTTTGTAAAAATATCAGCTAACTGATCAGTTGTTTTTACAAAATATACTTCAATATTTACGTCTTCCACGTGATCTTTGATGAAGTGATAACGAAGAGCTATATGTTTAGTCTTTGAATGCTGCACATGATTATGACAAATTCTTATTGCACTTTGTGCATCACAATATAAAGGAATCTTTTTCATATTAATTGCATAATCACGTAATTGACTTTGAATCCAAATTATATGTGAAGTGCATGCAACAGCAGCAACATATTTAACTTCAGACGTTGAGATGGATACACATGTTTGCTTCTTCGATTGCTAACTCACTAATTTATCATCGAGTAATTGACATCCTCCAGTCGTGCTTTTCCTATCCAAAGTACAACCACCCAAATCTGCATCTGAATATGCTTGAATAAAGAACCCAGTATTCGAAGGATACCACAATCTTAACGAAACAGTTCCTTTGAGATAACGAAATATGTTATTCACAGCAGTGAGATGTGGTTCTCGAGGATTTGATTGATACCTAGCACAATTACACATAGAAAACATGATATCAGGTCTACTTGCTGTTAAGTAAAGTAAAGATCCAATCATGCTCCTGTATAGAGTTAGGTCAACAGATGGTTTATCTAATGAAGGAGTTAGTTTTATGCCGGTTGTCATGGGTACTCGTAACTTTGTGCTATTCATCATCCCAAACTTTTCCAGTAAGTTCTTCGTATATTTCTCTTGATTTATAAAAATACTTTCTCTAGTCTGACGAATGTTTAAACCAAGAAAATTGTTAATTTTACCCATCATGCTCATTTCGAATTTGCTCTTCATCAAGTCTTCGAATTCAGGCTCGTGGAGCTTGTTTTAACCCATAAACTGCCTTATCGAAAATATAAACATGATTAGGATGTTCTTCGTTTACAAAACCTGGGGGTTGTTCCACATAGACTGTTTCTTTAAGCTCGCCATTAAGAAATGCACACTTCACATCCATTTGATAAACATCAAAATTTTTGTGAGTTGCATAAGAAAAAAATATACGAACAGCCTCGAGTCTTGCGATTGGGGCAAAAGTTTCTTCGTAATCAATTCCTTCTTGTTGAGAATATCCCTGAACAACAAGTCTGGCTTTGTTTCGAATGATATTTTCATCTTTGTTAGTTTTATTTTTAAAAATCCACTTTAATCTGACAATTGAAGCATTTTCAGTTTTAGGAATTAATCTCCAAACCTTGTTTCTTTCAAATTTAGAAAGCTCAGATTGCATTGCAACAACCCAATCAAAGTGTTCCATTGCAACCTTAACATTCTTTGGTTCAATCTTAGAGATGAAAACATTAAACATGCAAAATTCTTGATGAGTATTTAATACCTCATTCTTTGCACGAAGCTGAGCTCTTGTTAACACTCCTTCTTGTGGATTTCCAATGATTTGTTCCTTTGGATGACTTCTAGTCCATTTTTCCATTGGAGGATATGCTAGATCAAAGTACAAAGGTGCATCTTCGAACATTTCATAATTTTCTGATTCGGTAACCGAACAAACATCGTTAAGACCTTGAAATCTTCATCATTTTAAACATGCTCCCCCTCAACAACATCATCAATTCGCTCATTCTCCCCCTAGAATGAATGCTCCCGCTCCACTGGATCATTTTGCATACTTTTGTCTATTTCTTGAGGAGTTGATGTTGATTCATCAGTAAACTTCGCAAGTTCTGGTACGTGATTATCAGGAGCATGAATTTCAGCATCGACTGCATGATCTGAAATTCCAAAAATCAAATCATAATCAATATAATCCATTTGTAAAGATTCAGTTTCAACTTGTGTTTCTTGTAAAATTGGATGATTTGCAAATTTATGCTCATTTTGTTTAACATAGTAATCATTGAATGTGAGATTGAAAGTTTCTTCCACTTTTCATGTTCGCTTATTTAACACACGATATGCGATAGAATTGTGCGAGTATCCAAGAAAAAACCCTTCATTAGCTTTTTCTTGAAATTTCGAAAGATGATCCTTGAGATTTATAATAAAGCACCTACATCCGAAAACATGAAAAAATTTCACATTAGGTTTACAATTATTCAGAATTTCGTATGGTGTAATATTAAAACGCCTGTGTATGAAAGATCTGTTCTGAGTAAAACATGCAGTGGATATTGCCTCAGCCCAAAGATATTGAGGTAAATTCACATATACCAACATGGTTCTTGTTGCTTCGCATAGTGAGCGATTTCTTCGTTCAACAACTCCATTTTGTTGCGGAGTGTATGGAGAAGAAAAATTATGCGAAATGCCTTTGTCCACCAAAAATGAATCCAGAACATTATTCTTAAATTCAGTGCCATGATCACTCTTGATTTTGCGAACAATCTTTTTCAATGTTGTTTCCATTTTCTTGATAAAATCAATCATAATTTGTGCCACTTCGGATTTTTGTCTGAGAAAATAAACCCACGTGAATCTAGAAAAATCATCAACAATAACTAAAATATAGCGTTTGTTGTTGAGTGTTGAAACTATCGAAGGACCACATAAATCAATATGTAATAGTTCCAAGGGTTCAACAATCTTTGAGTCAATTGTTATCGGATGACCTTGTTTATGTTGCTTGCCAACTTCACAAGCTGCACATAAAGAATCATTATCATATTTAAGCACAGGTAAACCTCTTACCAGATCTTAAATAACAAGTTTGTTGATGTTTTGAAAGTTGAGATGTGAAAGTTTTCGATGCCATAGCCAACTTAGATCAGATGTGGCTTTCGAAAGAAGACATACAACAGGTTTGCCTACAATTGGATTGATATCCAATATAAAAATATCGCCTTTCCTCTTTGATTTGAGCATAAATTCTTTTGTATTGACATTCGAAATAATGCTCCCTTCTTCATTGAAAAGAACTTGATTACCAGTGCCCACAACTAGTTGTGAAACACTTATCAAGTTATGTTGCAGACCTTCAACATATGCAACTCGATTCACAGTAAATTGACTATTTGTAATCTTCCCATATCCTTTGACTTGGCACTTCTGATTGTTTCCAAATTTGACAACTCCAGCATTTTGTAAGCTTCGAAAGTCTCGTAGATTCTCCTTCTTTCTAGTCATTTGACGAGAGCAACCACTATCATTATACCATTTGTTATCGTATTGCTCGTAATATAGTACCTGCGATTATTGAAAGAATTTAGGTACCCAAGGCTTTTTGGGTCCTTCGAAATTAGATTTCAACATGGAATTAAATGAAGAAATTTTGACCCAGTCACAAACTTTAGTTTTGAGACTATCAATAATGTCCACATCATCATTTGTAGGAACCGAAACATAAGACTTTGTTGGTTTCGGATGTACACTGATTTTACCCTTCGCATTTTGAGTTTGTGACTGAACTGTCTTCGCTTTTGTGACTTTTCTCGAAGCTTTGATGGAGATGTTCAAATCTTTTGAGGAAGAGCTTCCATTCGAAGAAGTATGGACATACTTTTCATAAGCTTCGTTGATTTGTTCTTCTGAGTATTTGCTGGATTGATAAACTTTTCCTCGTCCTTCGAGCTAGTGATCTATATTTTTCCTTAAAGTTATGCCTTTTTCATGCGAAGCCTTTAGTGTTTGTTTCTTCGTATGATTAGGAAAATTTGGCTTTTGAGGAATAAAATTGACTTTTGGTTTAGTAACAAAAGATTCAGCATAGGAAGTATTTACTGTTGTTTTAAAATGTTGTCTTTTAGAAAATACCTTTGGTGGATTAGAATTTTCTGAAAATTTCTTTGGCATATTAGGTTTTGACCCTTTGGAAACCTTTTGTGTAGGTTGTGCTTCTGACTTAGAACAAGTTGATTGACAAGAACTTTGGTTTTCTTTTGAAAAAGAGTTTTTCACTTTATAGACAAATTTTGGTGATTTTGATTCAGACACATTTTTGTTTGTTTGTTTTGAAATCTTCTTTTTGTCTGAAAAACTTTCTGAATTCATAGTCTTAACCGATTTTGATGTTTCATTTTTCAATTTTGGAGATTCTATTGTTTGCCAAAAAAATTTCTTTCTTGCTTGTCTTTTTGAAATGTTATTTTCTTTTGAAAATTTGGAAATTTGTTCTTTGAATTCCTTTGAATTTAGTTTTACTTCATCTTTAGTTTCCTCAACCACTGGTTTAACGACTTCTTTCTCAAAATTTGATTTTTCAATCCATTTTCTCTTTGGTTTTTGTCTTTGAAAAACATATGAATTTTTAGTTAGATTGTTTTCAGTTGTACTCTGATTTGTGAAGAACCCATCCTCTGAGGTTTTCATGTTGACTTGTTCCACCAATTTCTTGAATTCCAGTTTGATATTTTGAATGTTTCCAGTTGTTACGAAGACTTGGTTTGGAAAAACAACATCATCAGTACACTTGAAAATCGGGTAAACCACCGTATTCGCTTCTAGGTAATGAGCACGTTGTTCAGTCTGCACTTTTTCAAACTTTTATGTATCTCCATACACTTGGTCAACAACTATACGAGGAATTTCTTTTTCCTTTGTAACTTCCTTTTTCTTTGTTTGTTTCTCTTCTTTCTCATCATCACTATCATCTGTTTGGCTGTCTCTGACTTCCACAAAGTCCACATCACAAACTTTCGAAGTTGAGGGTTGATCAGTGTCAATCTTAACCAACAAATCCTTACCTTTTTCTTTTCCTTTAAATGATGATGCAACATTTATAATAAACAACTGAGAACAATCAACATCCTCAATATCACTGATTTCACTAATATTGTCAGAATTATCCTCAATATCATCAAAATTAGATTAAGAATCAGATGTTGAATTCTCAGTCTTTTTCAAGATGTGAATTTGTTCAGACTTAGTCAAAGCGTCATTTACAATATTAACCAATTCAGTTGAATCAAGACATTCATCTACTTTGACTATTCCATATATATACTTATCATTCAGAACTTTGCTAAATTCAACTACTTCTTTTTCAAAGTCATACAAAATGTTATCTACTGTAGCTCTTTCATAAGCTAAAAATGGCAACAATTTTCTATGTTGTTCTTTACTGATTTCACACGAATGATATAGTTCAGTTAATTTCCCGTACAATCTTTTAGCCGAATTATAGTAAATGTTCCTCTAGGCTAACAACAGTTTAGATTCACGAGACAAGTTATCCCTATCAACCTTGACATTAGTTATTTGAAGTTCTAAACAATCTATCTTAGTAATTTTCGAATCTAGTTTCTTCTGTGTCTCTAGCAACTGCATAGACAGCTTCTTAGCCTCATTGCTAGCAAATACCACAATTGAATCAAAATAAGTAACAGTTTCATCGAAAGATACTAATTCAGAATTATAAGCATGTACTGGAATATTGAAAGATTCAAGAATATTATGTAGCTTTGTGGTCATCGGAGATTTGTCAGTGGCTTTTGATACGAAGCATCTTCCATGAACTTCGTATGCCTCCTCATCTGATTCTTCCTCCATCTTCGCATACATTGCTCCGTGGGTCGGATTTCACAGCTCCTCATCATCTGATCCAGATGACTAAATTTGATAAGTTCCATCTTTTTCTTGTTCACCACGAGCAACTAATGAAAGATTCTTTTCCTTCACACGCACCTCCTCCAACTTTTCCACATAGTACACTTCATCCTTCATCTTATTCTTTTTCTCATCTCTCTTCCTCAGCATGCAATCATTAGCTAAATGATTAGCCTCGTTGCAATAATGACAATCAATCCCAGCATCTCCCTTCAACCTCTTCTCTGTTTTTCCCTTAACAAACTTCGTATCTTTCTTCTCTTCCTTCTTCTTCTTCTCATCCCCAACACTTTTACTCAAAAAAAATTCCCTTTTGTCTCAGATGACTTTGTCTTTGGATTGAATGGCTTTTTGAAGAACTTTTTCACATGATTGTTTGAATAGAAAACAATCGCCTCATCATCTGAGTTGATGATGAACCCTTCGTCTTCATCCAAAACATCTTTCTCAGCTTCCCTTTCAGATATCTTCAAAACCAAAGCTAGTGGACCTCCCAAACTTGCCTTCGATTCTACAACAATTTCGCTCAGTTTGCTTTCATGAGACTTCAGCTGATTGTACAAGTCATTCAAAGTTGACGTATCAAAGCTCTGTTGATTCTTAACCATCATGCTCACACTACGCCACTCCTTACGAAGACCCATAACAAAATTAAATTGGACTCCATGGATGATATGGTGATTTCATATTGATTGCATTGATAGATTAATTCATTAAGATGATTGTAGTAAACTTTAATCGTTTCACCATCTTTTTGTCTGAAGTCCTTCAGTTCCACCAAGCATTGCTTCACAGAGTTTAAATTTCGTCTTCTCACTCCCCTGAAATTTCTCCTTGAGATTGTTCTAGATCTCCTTTGTAGTTGTACAACTTCTCACATAGTTGTAAACAATTGGAGGCAAAGCTCCTCTTAGCTCTCTCATGCATCTCTTCTCTAGCTTTTTCAGACAATCAGACTGATTCTCAACATACGGAATTCCAGAAGATGATCCAATTGGTTGAACATTCGTTGGTGGATTGAGATTGCCAGAAATGCAATTCCACAGTTCTTCATCCAATCCATTGAGATAATCCTGCATACGATCATGCCATTGATCGTAATACTCAGGGATTAGCATAGGAATTTTGGTGGATGATCCTAGAAGATGAGAAAATGAAGTCATGGAATTAAGATTGAAAGATGCCATTGATGTACAAAATAAAACCTTGAGAATTTTTGAAGAAACTTTGAGAATTTGACAACAAGCTATATGATTCAAATTAGAATCACT